GGGTTCTAGTTCAGGTGGCGAAACATTGTATGTATTCGTCAACGTCCACGGTGCTGGTATTTTCATGATGTTTGCCACATTTATCCATGGATTTGTCGAAACATTGGTTTATGATTTTTTGAAAAGTGTCACAGCATTATCCAAACAGTTTTACTGGTATTTGCAGTTTAATGTGAAACACGTTTGAATTCAGATTCTTTTATAAAAAAATATTTTCTCTACCCAAAGCTGGAGGGTCTTAAAAGTTCGACCCGAACTTAATGTTTTTTTTACTTGTTTTTTTTTTAAGTATTTTTTTTCTCTTTTGTTTGTAAATTAAAATTAGTTAAAGAAAATATAATAAAAAAATTCCCATCTCTGAACGAAAAACAAACATTTGACAAAAAAAAAGCAAAAAGAAAACTCAACCAAAAACATGCGACAAAAATGTGACCGCAAAAAAATCGACAGCTAACAAAAAATAACACCAGACACGAGAGAGGCAGCTGAATTGAATTGGATTAGAAACGAAAATGTTGTAACACAACAACCGATTTATATATAGGAGGAAGAGAAGGAGGGACACAGGTTCAGAATTTTAGACCAAACTGTCGTGTATGGAAATCTTAAGGCTAATATACACATAATATTAGAGTCCTATGTAATGTTACTTTTTCTGTTAAGCATTTTAATAACATATTTTTAGGCGTTTCGTAAGGTTTTTTTTTGAAAGGAAATGCTTTTAATACATTCATAGTATAAATGCAATAAAAAATAATATTTGTATATTATATAGCATTATAAAGTATACATTTTATGAAGTATAGCGTTTCGTTTAATTTTAAAAATTGTTGGGTGCGCTTAAAAGTCTGCTATAAAAATGTTAATAATAAAATGTTAAAAATCAATTTACATAACAAATAAACTTTATAGACGCGATTATAACGGGATTTATCTAAAATTGATTCCCTATCATAAAAATCGGATGGGCCTATACGTTTTCATGAAAAAGATCTTTCATTTGAAATTTTGCCGCGATATGATTGATATTAGTTCCCACTGTCATTCAACAGAAATTGGTTTGAATTAAAAAAAAAACATTTTTGGTTTTTTATTTACCTTTTACATTGACAGCCTAAATTCAAAATAAAGAATGAGAAATAAAAGACAAATAAACAAAGTCCAATTTGACTTTAAAAAAAACTTGGCAGCGATTATTCTTAAAGTGTTAAATGTGGGTGCCAATACAATTGAGCTGCAGAGGCGGGCGCTTTCCTCCTACTGCTACAACCACTACACCTGTATTCATGTCAAGGTTAAGGTAATGAGATTTAATTTTATTCAATTAATCGATTTCAATTGCAAGTGTCAATTAGATCGACAATTTGGTGCGACATGGTTTTGAGGTTAATTCCCTAAGATTAAGGTTGGTAGAATTGAGCACTTTTAGCTTTTATAAAATTCAGGCGATGGTGTGGTGTATGAAACAAACTAATGAAAATGGAAAGTAAAATGTAGCTGAAATATTATTGTAAAAAATAATTGAAAAATTAGCTCATCGCTCCTTCTGAGGGGAAGTAAGAACTTCACAGAGAGCTAAAAATTTATAATATTCCTGTTAATTTCATTCAAGACAGCGGAGTCGAGTCATTACCATACATTGAATCTGGGAGTGTTCCAGCGTTATTTTCTCTCTCCTGGACGGAGCCTGCCTGGGTGTGAATTTGAGTTAAGCTGCTGATTTGGCAATGGAAAATATAACGTAAACGTAAAAATACTTAGAAATACTTACTATAGGGAATATACCAAAAAGTGGATCAGCATAGCCCATTTTCTTTTTTTTTTTTAAGTGGCACTATATTTAAATTTTTGCGGAATATATCGCAAAGTATTGGGGTCCCTTTGTATATCGTCATGACCTTTAAAGACCATAAAAAATTTTGAACTGAAAACTCGAAACATATTTGGGGTTTTGATCTAAAAGTGCTAAAAGTACTACTAAATCCACTTCGTGCTTACAAGAAGGAGTGGTCCTATATATTCCACATTTAGACCAGGTCTTGTTTTATTAGAAATATTGAGAGGTGTAAAATTTTTACAGAATTGGATGCTCAATTCGCATTTTACGAAGTTTTGCTAATTTAAATTTTTTTACCCCTTGTGAGGGTGTACCGGAATGAGTGTAGCGTTTATAAAAATATTGGGATATGCAGAGTTTGAATATTATCAGATGCTTATTTTGAATTTTATAAAAGTTATAAGTATTCAAAATTTTTGGCCCTTTAGTGGGGATGGTACTTGATGTTGTGGGCCGATATTGTCCATTTTCTGACCTGACCTTAAACTTGAGCTACCCATTCTTGTTCTATGAGGTAAATTATATTCTTTGAAAATGTTGACCATTTGTGCGGGGGGAGGTACCCGAACTCGATCTAATACTGACAACAATATTAGGATAAACCAAGTTTGATCGACTTAAAATGTACTGAAACGGATTTGGTCCAACGGGACTTAGGGTCTAAAATCATTATTTTGATTAAGCATCGTTTTGCTGTATCAAATGACATACAGGGTTAGATAAAAAAACTTCAACCAACTTCAGACTACTGTCATTTTCGTTGTCCAGCAGTTTGTAAACAAACAAATGATCGTGTTTACTTTCCAAAGAGGTCAGCTGAAATGATGTACCTTCTCCGGCCATGGTGATGGTGTGGGCCTCCATAACAGCCGATGGTCGCTTTCCGCTCGTATCAAATGCCGAATATTATCGCGAAAATATTCTGGAGGGTGTATAAAAGCTTTGGGCACACAAACATTTTGGGCGCAGACCTTGGACATTCCAACAGGATTTAGCACCATCGCACTCAGCACGCGCCACCCAAGAATGGTCACAAAATGAGGTTCCTCGCTTCATTTCCAGCGCACAATGGCCACAAAAATCTCCGAATATCAACTATTGGTATCTCCAGATTGGACCATTGTGTTTGGAATATTTAGGAGGACAAGATTGGAACTAAAAATGCCAAAGGCAAAGCAACATTCGGGCAGCGTGTGACGATTTCATTGGCTGTTTGAAGGCCATAATTCGTGCCAAAGGTGACCAATTCGAAAATTATTCGAAAATTTGATTTTTCTTCCGACATTTTTTGCTTTCATTCAATAAAATTTAAAAAAAATTTAAAAATTATGGCGTTTTACTTTGTTGCAGTTTTTTCATCTCACCCCGTATATATATTCCTGATCAGCATAAAATTCTATGTCGATTAAGCGATGTCCGTCCGACCGTCTGTGGAAATCACTCTAGCTTCCGAACGAAATTAAGTAGGTTGTCTGCAGGACTTTTGGTATTGAAAATAAGCCATATAGGTCCAAGTTTTTGTATATCCCCCATATAACGGTACCCCCATGTTCGGTGATTTAAGTGACATTATTCACCGGAATTGTTTCAAATTTGGTATTTGAAGTTCGTTATGAATACTACAGCCAAAGACAGAAAATTGTCTGGGCAGGCCCACGTCTTCGTATAACCCTCATATAACGGTACCTTCCGATATTCGGTATTGTGATGATTTTAGCTACATTACTCACCGGAATTGTTTCAAATTTGGTATTTGAACTTCATAACGGATGCTACAGCCTATGACAGAAAACTGTCCATGCAGGTCCATGTCTTCGCATAGCCTACGTACCTCCCGATATTCGGTATTTTGTTGATTTTAGCGACATTATATACCGGAATTGTTTCAAATCCGGTATTCGAAGTTCGTAATAGATACTACAGCATAAGACAGAAAATGGGCCATGTAGGTCCACGTCTTTGTATAGCCCCCATATAACGGTACCCTTTTATTACTTACCGGTTCTATTTAAAATTGGTATTTGAAGTTCTTAATGGATACTACAGCCTATGACAGAAAATTGTCTGTGCCTGTCCACGTCTTCATATAGCCTCTATATAACGGTACCTTCCTACATTGGGTATTTTGATAATTTTAGCCACATTATTCACCGGAATTGTTTCAAATCTGGCATTTGAATTTCGTGACGGATCCTACAGCCTTTGACAGAAAATTGTCTGTGTAAGTCCACGTCTTCGTACAGCCCCAATATAACCGTACCTCCCTGCATTTGGAATTTTGATGATTTTAGCTATAATTCACCTTTTTTCAAGTTTCGCATTTGAATATTGTAATGGCTTATGACAAAAGTTGCCTATGCAGGTCCACGTCGTCGTATAGACCCTAATTCGGTATTTTTAAAATTTTTATAGAATTTTTAACGGATTTTTTTTTTTGAATATTGCCAAATTCCCCCCAATTGGTGTTCGGCCAGGCCGAAATTATAGCTTTTTTACTCTTTCATTTTCCTTTGACTAAAAGCAGGTCGAAAATATCACATTTTTTGCATTTTCATCAAAAATTTTTTTGCAAAAATTTCAAAAAAGCATTTAAATTGTGTTGAAACCCTAAAAAGACAAACAAATCTGCCTAAGCTTAGCCAAAAGCAAAAACCTTTTTATATATAATACATATACTTGCCCTTTCGCCATTCCCCACATCAGCTGGTGGTCTGGTTGGCACATTCATGTGGGTTTTGTTTTTTTTTGCAGATAGTGATATTCTCACAGGTTTTGCACTTTTGACTTTTGTCATTTCGATGCGGGGTCATGTGTCAGTCAGACCGAAAATAAAAGTTCACACAATGAGGTCTTCTCTACTTCAAACATTCAACCATGGCTTTGTGGGTATGTGTGTGTGTGTGTAGCTGTTTGTGTAGGAAGATGGCAGCAGTCAAATTGTGTTACATATTATATTTCTCATATAATGAGGGAAAAACAAAAGTTCAAAAGGTTAAAAATCATTTCACAAGAAAAACAGTCTGGCAAATGTTAATTATGGCTCATTCTCGTAATGGAGATATTATTTGGCATTCCTTCTTCTTCTTCTTCTGCTGTATTTTTGTTGATTTCATTAATTTTAATTGGCTTTTTGTCTCTCTTCCCTCCCCCATTCTCTTTCCAGAATCCGCAATTGATAGCTCGGTGAACGACTTAAGTTCTGAATCAGCCACTGCCAAAACTAGCTGCCAGCTACAACAACAAAATCCCCAACCCCTGCAACTGCAGCATCCCCAATCAGAGCAACAACAACAATCTCTACTTAAGAAACAACAAAATTTCAAACGTTACCAAGGTCATCATCCGCACTTCCATCATCATACGGCCCCCGCCTACTACACGGACCTACATTTGCGCATACACACGCCCGAGGTCAAGGATTCGCTGAATGAGAACTATCAAAGTGTCTACAGGACCCCCTCGAAATTGGTAAAGGACGAACGGCAATTTCCCAAAACGGCCACAGCCGTGGTGCCACCAGCCATTATCCAAACGCCCAGATCACCCACACCAAAGTCACCAAGGGAGGTGACCAGCACCGAACAGCAGGAAGGCAATTCCACCACATCAACGGCCTCGTTTTTTCGTGGGGCTGGTTCCGGTCTTCCAAGGGAGGAACAGCAGCCAAGAAGTGCCAACGATCCGTACGGGAGCTCATCACCAAGTTTGGCGAACCCTGCAAAAGGTAATAGTCCCCATGATCATCTTCCCCCCGCTGTCGCTAATGCCGATGGTAGCGTAGTTTTTGCTTGTACCAATTTTAAGCCCTGCAAAGCCACGGATTTTGCCCCGCAACCGACTGGCTCTCCGCGCCAATCACCTGCCGCCGGAGGACGTAGCAGCCGTAATCCGCAACGCTTCAGCAATCGACGTCGCGCCGTGCGTGTGCGCAGTGAATCACGCCCCATTAGTGCCCTCTACGACATAATATGCAAAGAAAAGGGTCTCGACATTGGCAGTTCCACATCGAACGACGAAGATTTCTCGGCGCCTAACAGCCACGACGAACGCAACGCCACACGATCTCGTCGATCGCATTCGAGATCGTTGAGCAAACAAACAAAAGCGGCCAGTAGTTGCAACGTCATGATGTCCCCGGGTGGTGAGGCAAGTCAATCACGCGGCGGCATGGTGGGTCAGAAGAAACGTCAAACCAAAGACAAGCGTTCTTCTTCGTCGATTTTTATCAATGACCTCAGTGACAATGAGGATGACGATGGTAGCCTCTTGCATCATGCCGAAGATGGCGAACATTCGGCATTGCATCACCACCAGCACCACCAAAAACGGCATCTGCTGATGGGTGATGCCCAAATGAAATCTTCTTCCCTGCCGCCGGGCCTAAAAAGTCTATCCGATTATAGTTTGAATATTGAAAATCACAACAACAAAAACAATCATCATCAGCATACTCAACATCCACATCAACATCCCTCCAGTAAAGTATCTCAAGACTCCCTAAAGACTCTCCAAACCAGTAGTGCTAGTGATAATGTACTTAATGCTAACTATTCATCATTATCTTCATCCGCGAAACCAATTCCGCCTTCTGTGGCCGGAGCAGGTGCTGGCACCTCAACAGCAGCAGCAGCAGCGGCAGCCGCAATGGTTTCGTCGCCTAAAGCCGAACGTTCATCACGTAAATATAGACGTTCACGCGATGAAAAGCCAAGACGTCACACGGATGGTGCTGTCCACATTATGGCAGCCGAACAAATGGATGACCAGCAGGAGCAGCCGCAACAATACCCGCATCATAGTCATCATCACCATCCTCAATCTCTCCCTCCTGCTCCCATGTCTCTGCAATACGATGATCACGATGATGCCGATCACACGCATCGTCATCATCATCAACATCGCCATCATCACAAACATCAGCATCATCACCAACCTGAGCAGTTCCCTGCATCAGAGTTGCAGCATTCGCATCATCATCATCATCAGCAACATGATTTAAATGGTGCCGGTCACGATTTTCATGTATCCGCTAATGCTGCAAATGCCAAGAGGTAAGTAGTGTGTTGCAGCCTTAAGTTGCATCTTTGTTGTTGCCTGCCTTCAATTGTGTTCATTTAGAGCCTGTTCCACCATCACCATCGCCATCACTTCGCATCAGAGCAACGTCATGCTTATGACCAAAGCCAATGTCAGTCAGTGGCATTGGCCACACTTAGTTTTCCAAATTACAGAAAATTGCGGCAAACATTTTTAATAAGCATCTTGGCGGTTTATGGAAATCTATGTGCTGCTTGCCTTGCAAAGCAAATTAAATTATCCTTGAACTTGTTGTGTAGCTTATTGTGTTTGAGAGAATTTTCAATTTAATATCATAGATTTAGACCTATACTAAATTGGAGTAATATGTATATCTAAACATATCCGCCACTCTATTATGCACACATCTGCATTATCAGTCAACAATACCTGCCATAAATGCGGGAAAAGCTTAGTGTGGCAGCTAAGTTAAAATTACGTAACCAGTTTAATTTTTATACCCTCAGCCAAATGGCTAGAGAGGATATATATTATTTATTACGGAATCCTCGAAATAAAGGTTTCAGGTCTCTTTGGACCCAATCCGTTTAAGGACATTTGGAGTTGATCTATCTATGTCCGTCCGGCCATCTGTCTGTCTCTGGCATGCTTGTGCGCTTGATAACTCTCGAAGGGAGTATCGAACTTGATCCAAACTTGGTACATCGTAATATTATTATCAAATTTAGATCGAGTTCGGAGATGGGCAATATCGGTCCACTCCTTCTAGGACCTCCCTCACAAAATGTTAATATACTTAAAGAAAATAATTTACTGAACATAAAGAGAATGGATGATCCAACTTTATAAATCCTAATATTTGCATCAGTGCTAGATCAGGTGCAAAAATGGACAATATCGGTCCACTCCATCAAGTACCTCCCTCAAAAAGGGTCCGAAATTAGAAATTATAAAAAAATTGAATTATAACTCTTGTAAAATGTGACGTAAGTGTCCGATTGTCTTTAAATATCACACATCACAATATTTTTATCAACCCAAGCTCTGGTATGAAGATAAAATATATCGGTCCACTACTTCTGGTACCTCCCCCACAAAGGTTCAAAATTTTGAACATTCATGAAACTCAGAAAACATGAAATTAACATCCGATTTCAGTTAGACTTGGCACATATCAATATTTCCATCAAAACAAGATATGTTATGAAGATTGTAGAGATCGGACCATTCCTTCTGGTACCTCCGCCACAAAGGGTCGAATAACCAAAATGATCATAAAATCCGAAATAAGCACCCGGTTCCCTTCAGATTTCACACATCTCATTAGTTCTACTAACACAGGATCTGCTGTGAAGATGAAATAAATCGATCCACTCCTTCTGGTACCTCCCCCACATAGGGTCACAATTTTGAATATTCATGAAGCTCAGTAAACATGAAATTAACATCCGATTTCAGGTAAACTTGGCACATCTTAATATTTTCATCAAAACAAGTCCTGCTATGAAGATGGTAGAGATCGATCCACTCCTTCTGGTACCTCCACCTTAAAGGGTCAACATTTCCAATATCTATGAAGCTCATAAAACGCAAAATTAACATCCGATTTCATTCAGACTTGGCACATCTCAATATTTCCATCGACACAAGATATGTTATAAAGATTGTAGAGATCAGACCATTTCTTCTAGTACCTTCCTCCTAAAGGGTTCAATATTTTGAAAGACAAAACGCTCGAAGAAAGCGGAACTCTCTTCAAATTCCCCACACACTAACATTTTTGCTAACGGATCTTGTGTCTCTCAAACAGTCAGCGATTTTTCCAAAAAAAATATCACATGTCTCATAAAAAGTGAAGGAAGTAATCAATATAGTCCAAACTTGGCACGTCACAATATTTATACCATATTTATTTAGCTCACAATATTTATCATTATCATATTTATTTAGCTCCGATACGAAATGGACAATATTAGCCCATTCCTTCGGATCCTACTCCATAGAGGGTCAACAATTTGAATAGTCATAACAGAAAGCAAAATATATTTAAATCATCGAACATTTGATGAGGGTATACATTATTCGGTTCTGTCCAAAACTGTTTTCACGTCTCCATATGTAAACCCTAGAAACCAACAGTGACCTCAGTATTACATATTAAAACACTATAACATAAACATAACATTTACTACGTTTTACGAAAACAATATCTCTCCATCCTAGACACCAACAGTAATCCTTAATTAGTACCATTTAGTACTTTTGAAACAATTATAAAATAAATTATAGAACGCAGATTCCAACAGAGACTTCAATATCAAATTTCGTGGTTCCAGCCCTATACATTCAGTCTATACCAAATTTATACCAATTTAGTACTTTTCGTACAATTTTAGTACTTATTTTCAAATCCAATTACATATCTCAATTACAAATAACAACAGTGACATCCATATCAAATTTCAGGATTCCTCCTCCATACCTTCACTCAATTCCAAATTTAGTGCTATTTAATACTTTTCGTACAATTATAGTACACATTTACAAGACTACATCCACATCTTGGCGACAGACACCATCAGTGACCTCTATGTCAAATTTCAGGATTTTAGTTATGTTCCTTTACCTAGCATCAAATACAGTACTATTTAGAACGTTTCGTGCTATTATGGTCATATTTCCAAAACCACATCCATATCTCAATGTTTTATAGCAACAGAAACCCTAATATCATGTCATGAAGATTCTTATCCCCCACCCAATAACAAATTTAGTACCATTTAGTACTTTTCGTACAAATGTAGAACGCATTTCCAAACCACTGCCAAATCTCAAACACTATCAGTAACTATCAATAATCTAAATATCAAATTTGAGAATCTTATCTCTATCCCTTCAGTCAATACCAAATATAGTACCATTTATTACTTTTTATACAAATATTGTACACATTTCCAAAACCACCTCGATACCTCAATAACTGACAACAGTGACATCTATATCAAATTTCAGGACTTCAACACTCTAATTTCCCCATTGCCAAATTTAGTACAATTTAGCACTTTTCGTACAAATCTCCAAACCACCGCCAGATCTCAATTTCAGATACCAACAGAGACCTCAATACCAAATTTCGGGATTCCAACACTATCCCTTAACCCAATATCATATATAGTACCATTCAGTACTTTTCGTACAATTATAGCACACATTTCTAAAACCACCTCTATATGTCCAGGCTAGACATGAACAGGAACCCTAATATGAAATTTAAGATTTCCAGTACTATCCCAATACCCAATACGAAATTATACCAAATATACTACTATTTAGTACTTTTCGGGCACTTGTCGTACACATTTCCAAAACCTACTCTTTATTATGAACCCACCACACACAGGGACCCCAAAACAAAATTTCAAAATTCCAGCTGCCTCCGTTCACCTTAAACCAAATTGTTCCAAATGTAGTACCATTTTGTACAGCTTGCACGCTTTGTACACATTTTCAAAACCACCTTCATATATCAAACTTACTTTCCAACCTTGATTCTCGCACCAAGTTTCAAGTTTTTAGCTCTATCCGGTCACATAATACCAAATGGTACCATTTTAGAACTTTTCCTATCCCTAAAGTGCGAATTTTCAAAAATCCTTTGGTATATTTATCCTGCACTCCATCAGTGACTCTCCACTCCAAATTTCAGAACCCATTCCGTTTGTCCAACTCAATTATTAGTAAAAATCCAGACTTATTACACGCCAACGAACCAAGACTAAGTTTTGGAGTAACCCCCCATACAATAGGGAAAAGCAGTAAGAGTTGATTTGTTTTACCAATGTCAAATTCAAGGTCCGAATCTGTACTTACAGCTAAGTAGGAGGTTACTGCGGAACTGAATTACCAAATTAATACCCTATCCCTTCTCCGACTATAACCTGATGGAGTTTGAACCTAGACTTCGACTGCTGTAATTGCCTTAAATGCCAAGGCTTTGGCTTTCATTATTCCCTCAGCCATATGTCTACAAAAGCCAAAACGTGCCTCATCGAAATTACCGCTTTAAACCATAGATCGATCTAGAGGTGTCCGACTGTCTGGTCTGGTTCAAACTTGGTACATCGTAATATTATTGTGTAAATTTTACAAATACCAATATTTTTCAGGTTCGGCTCACTCCATCAAGTACCTTCCCCACAAAGGGTAAAAACTTTGACTAATTATGATTTCTATAAAATAAATGAAAAAAGAGTTCGATAGTCTTCAAATTTCATACATCCCAATATTTTTCATAACTAAATATCTGGTATGAAGATGGGATATATCGACCCACTCCTTCTGGTTACTCCTTCAAAATTTTGAATAATTATATCTCTCAAGTCAGCGATTCTATTCAGAGATCTGATGTAAATATGGAATTTATCGGCCCATTTCTTCTGGCACCTCCATTACAAGGGGTCAACATTTTGAATAATTATAACCCTTTAAAGGGAAACTTCGTTATCGCGCTGTGGACTGAGGATATACATATGTCGGCAAAACCTACTGATACTTTTCAACTTGTTACAGATGTTATCATTACCATTACCTAAACCAAATTTTTGTTTTGTCCTTATTTTTTCTCTGCATTCGAGCACTACCGTACAAATCTCTATGTGTCACGCTCCCCAAAAAAAGGCTTCTAAGTCAATTTTTCAAATTGTTTTCCTACAATATCGTCAAAATGGAAATTTTGAAATTGTCACCCGGCGACGCTTCGACGAAAAACATCTTAATCATCCTCATTCTCTTACTGCCTACTTAAGTTCTGCGTTACATTAGGTTTTCTCATAGCATAGAAATAAATCCTCTCTTAGGCACGTTTCTTTTTTTACTATTTTCAATCCCATAACTTTCTTCATAAAACATTTCATGTAGAGATCATATTTATGCAAACTTTTAGCCATAATTTCTTGTGATGCTAATTTTTTGACATTTAACATTTGACAAACCCAACAACTTGTAATCCCAGCTC